AGTCAGACTGTGGCGTCCTGAATTCCAAAAAGAACTTTGAATCTGAATCATGCAATATACAGCTGCCATACATCTGCAAGAAGAGCTTCAATTCCTCTCACGTAACAACCACAGGTAGGTGAGCTGCTGCCCTCGCCATCTGCATCTATAGTTGTACTGAGTCATATTTAAATAAAACCAAGAGTCTACAGTCATGCTAGCAGCTATGTCAGGTTGTATTTAGACACTGGTGGACACAAAAGTTGGCACCAATCTGTTAGGCGCATTACTGCTGTTTGTAGTTTAGCTCTTTTTTTTTGGAGTTTTAGTTGTTCTTTGTCTCCTTTGTGCACATTTAGCAACTATTGCATGTTTGCATGTTCTGGAAGTGAGATTCCTCCACTGTTGTTTCTCCCTTTTCCACCCTATTAAAGGGGTTTTCCATATTCAGATTAATGGTTTAAGGATAGATGGTGTTAAATGTGCACATTATAAAGCCTGTTTAGTCAAATTTGTGGTTTTGGGATTTAGAATGTAGATCATGCTGATGTGAATTCCCTTCACAGCTTCCATTTGTCTTGCTCCCTCTCTTCAGACTCTTTTGAATATAATGAAACAGTGTGTGTGGACAGTTGGGTTCCATGGAAAGGCTGGTGTTACAAGTTAGAGAAGGACAAGCCTCTCAGCTTTCTAGATGCCCAGCAGTACTGTAACAAAACACAGGGAGGCTCTCTGGCAAGCTTTCACTCCATTGACAGCAAAGAGATGATCAGTACAAATTTCCATGCAGGTAAATTCTTTTTGTTATATTATTTTACTTGGTAAGTTAATTTGATAATTTTCTCGGAACAAGTGAAATATCTGCTAAAGCAAATTTATCAGTTGTTTTTATGTGGCCTGGCTTCTTTTAAGAATTTTGCTGTTCTTTTGAGATTTAAGGCAGAGATAAAGTAATCATCCAGAGTCTGAGTCATGAAACAAGTATTTTACATTTTACTGCCTTATTTCTTTTACTATCATTATAAAAAAAAAAGAGTTTGAAATGAGAATTTAATTAAATCATTGTCTCTCTCCAAACCCACGCCTTGACTGTTTCAGTTTGATTTTAAATGATTAAACAAAGTGATTTTTCTTATGTGTTACACTCATCAGATAACAAGTTACTGGATGTGTGGATAGGACTGAAAGGTAGCAGCACTAACCTCACTGTCTTTAAGTGGATTGATGAGGCACCAGTCACCTTCACCTACTGGGGCTCAAATCAACCAGTTCAGCCCACTGAGAATACCAGCTGTGTGTTCTACTCTGGAGAGGTGTGTGTGTGTGTGTGTGTGTTCATGTGGGGGTGACAGCATTTATTTTTGTGCAACCACACCTATTGCTTCTTTGTTATGTGGAGTATTTGTGTGTCCAGTCTTGTGTTCTTCTTAAGAAGTTTGTTTATTTGAGGCCTGCAAAATCAAACCTGCGTCTGTTCACCACAGTCTCATGGTTGGAGGGTTGGGGACTGCTCACAGAGGCTACCTTTTATGTGTCAGAAGAATGGGGAAGTCAGGGAATCGGTAACACTTGCAGGATGTCGCTTTGAAGATGTAAGTATTGTCTGTGTGACCCAGTGGTGCTTGCAAAGCCTGCCTGTGCTTCACATTAGCTTTTAAATATGATTAGCCATAATGTCATTTTGGTCCAGACTCAGCAGTTAGAGGCATTGCAAATAATACTGCTCAGTTATTTCTTTTTGGAAAGCTGTGATCATTTTATTTATGGTCTATGTTTAAAATCCTTTTCCTAACATACAAAGCCCTTTATGACAAAGCTCCATCACATCTTAAAGACCTCATATTACCTTAACATCTCAACAGTGCAGGTTTACTTGTGGTTCCTAGAGTCCACAGAAGTAGAATGGGAGGCTCAGCCTTTAGCTAACCACCTTTCCTGTGGAACCAGCTCCCAGTCTCACATGATAGAATGTCATTAATACCCCCACTAGCTCCATGTGAATAATCCAGATTATAAAATGCTGTATTCTCACATGGCCTCGCTCCAGCCCATTTGTGCCTTGAGTGGACTTTGTACTAAGGAGCTGGCAGAGTAAACTCTGATTAAGGTCCGGGTCATCTGATTTGGACATTTGCATTCTCACATACAGCTCCCCCCTGGGTAATGTCTACATAATTTAAGGGTTCTAGTGCATGTCTGAGAAGGTCCTAAGATATTGGGGGAAAAAATAATACTGATGTAACTGTTCCCATAGCAGAGGACCGCATATGTATCAAAACTAGCATTATACATGAGTGTGACAAATTGGGCCATGTTTACTTGTAATTTAAAAGTAACTTAAAAAGCTCACTGCTGTCAATTGTCTTCCCTTCCCCCACCCCAGGGTTGGAGGAGACACGGCAACTCTTGTTATCAAGTTAACACCAAACAAGTGTCCTTCACAGAACGCTGCAACATCACTATAAGAAACAGGTAGGAGTTTGTTCAGAATGCTTTCTGGTACCATTTCAGAAGGAGATATCTGTTTCCAACTTTAAACCATACTATAACTCATCTATCTTAAACATGTCCATCAGTTCTTTCTGTGTTTGGGCAGGAAAAGGTCAGTGATTTTTGACTGTTGTTTCCAGGTTTGAGCAGGCCTTTATCAGCCGTCTGCTTGGAGAGAAGTTCAGCATAAACCCTCAGTATTTTTGGATAGGGCTGCAGGACATTAAGAACACAGGAGAGTACCAGTGGGTGAGCCAGGATGGGTCCCCAGGTATGGTTACATACACCAACTGGGGTCAGTTTCAACCAGGTTAGTATAAAACATCTGTTATTATTGCTCCTAAGGTCTACCTTTGTAATAATTCTGCTATGTCTGCATTTAATACCGTTGTCGTGTGTGAGTATACATCGTCAAAATGCCCAGTGTATGTAGAGCCACACAACAGTGATGATATCAGGACTGGAACCCACTATCACAACAAACTGCTTCAGCAAACTAATTAACACACTGGCTAACACTAGATAACAGAATAAATGTGCTGTATTTTCAATTAATCTGTTGATTATTTTCTCAATTAATAAAGCCCAATTTCCAAAAGCCTATGGTGGCATCTTCAGATATCCTTAAGCTGAAACTAAAGAATTTTGTAATGACAAATAATGACTTTTTTGATTTTTGATTGTTTTTTTTTTTTGTCAATAATTAATTAATTGATTGATCACTGCAGCTTTAGTATGCAAATGTTTTTTGGCATCATGGTTTGTATACCAGGACAACAGGCCCATATTTTTATACTGAGTTAAGAAAAACTTCAAAAACTGTGGTTTTTCAGTTAGAAGTCAGACTCATTGTTTAAATACAATTCAGCTATTATAAATTTCACACTGTGGATTTAACTTATTTGTATTTGATCTGCATGTGTATATCAGATCATCCAGGAGGTTGTGCAGTAATTTCCACCACAAAACCCCTGGGCAAGTGGGAGGTGAAGAACTGTACATTTTTTAAGGCCGGCACAATTTGTAGAAGAGACCTGAGTCCACCTCCACCCCCAGAACCAGAGCCGAACCCCAACGCAACCTGCCCTGATGGATGGATGTCTCAAAAGGACAGCAAATACTGCTACAAGGTAGGTGTGTGTGTGTGTGTCTTTGAACACCTGTCATATAGACGTTTTTCCACCTTTAGAGTGATACTTGTTTGGAAAAGGTCATAATGGTTATAGCAGGAGTTAAAAGGGAAATGCATTGATCTTACATGTAAAGGTTACTGCTTGCATATAAAAAGAACTAAATAGGAATGGAGGTATCTTGTATAAAGTAAATATTAAATATCTATCACTGAAGCTGCCTCTGGGCCAGTCAAAATGATGATCTCTCATGTGTTTTTCCCATGGCTTTCTTATTGAATAGATTGTTGCTTGTTTCTGAAGTACATCCGAACTAGCTTTCTTTACAGTCTGCTCTGGCCTGGTAGTTTATTGGTACTGCTTTAGTAGCTCTTGTGACTTACTGTTTCACCTTGCCAGGTGTTTCATGAGGAGAGGCTGAGCAGGAAGCGCTCGTGGGAGGAAGCTGAGAGGTTCTGTCAGGCTCTGGGAGCCAACCTGCCTAGTTTCACCAGTACTGATGAGATGAAAACCCTGAATAACATCATGAGAGGATCCATCAGGTATATACACATGCACACTGTTTACATTTTTCTTTTGTCGTCATTTATTTTTATTACACTGTAACATAAACAAAATAAAATATCACTTTGATCTTTATACACAGAATGTTTCGCTTAGAGGTGGACTTCATTTTAAGTATTGAAATATGTTTTGGAGCACATTTCCACAAAAAAATGATTCAAAAATGTTACATATTTTAGCTTTAAGGTGATTGTTTTTGTTAGGTTTTTCTTTGAAATAATATTAATTAATTGTCATGAATGATGGTGGTTTGCTCTGCTGTTCTTGTTACAGTGACAATCGGTACTTCTGGGTTGGACTGAACAAACGAAACCCATTAGATCGCACCTGGCAGTGGAGCGATGGCCGACCTGTGAGTGTAGCATAGTACAGTATAGTATTACAACCCATCTTTAACACATTGTGAGAAGACAAACATCATACATCTTAAGATGTTATTTTTGGCAGTGGAGCATTCGGTGCATTTCAAGAAATGCTCTTTCATCAGTTCACATTTTGCTAATACTGAAGAAACTTTTTAAATTTACTGTTTCCTAGCGTACGACCCTGAAGTTGCACTTTTATTTCTCTCAAACGCAACATATCTGTTTTTGATAGATGTATTAAGCTGTGCTGCATTTATTTCTGAGTGTGAAATCGGTTTATTGCTTGTGTCTGCAACAGGTATCTATGGATGTTTTACACCATGGTTTCAATGAGGATGATGCATACAATCGGGACTGCACTGCATTCAAGGTGGGCTGAGTAGATTTATACTAGTAAACGGAGACTTTAAGAGAGAAATAAACATTTGATCGGCATTTATTCTCTATTTCCATTACCTGTTTTATTCAAATATTGTATATATTATTATTATTTAATCTATAGTTTCTTATCTTTTCCTTTGCTCTTCTTTATGCATATTTTTCAACATTTAAATTTTTCATTTCAGTGTTTGTAAGATCTGGTTATCCATACTGTACAGATTGCTGTGTGAATCAATGCCATTTGGTCATCTGTTTGTGGGAGTCATGAGAAGAGCCACTCATGAAATCTGCCCCTGTGATGATAACGTGTCCTATGTGCTGTCTAGAAACAAAATCACAGAAAAAAAATCAGCCAACCAGAGCAAAACACGCTCCTGCTTAGTTTTTCTCATTATGAGTATACTGTCATTTGTTAAACTGTCTGAATGATGTTATTAGCCTCTCAGATTTAGAGCCTTTCGGGGGTTGTAGCCAGCAATGGCGATCATTTCTTGTTGTTTGTTTATTTGAGAAAGGTGTGTCAGCTGATTCTTTCTGTTTTCGCCACATTTAACAAGAATGTTGCTTTGCCGGCCAGAACCTGACCTTCGCTCTCGTTTAGGGCGCGTCAGTTAGTGACTGTATTGTCAGACAGTCAGGTAAACTATCACTGAACTGGAGAGAGCAACAAGAACTGTAGTGCCACAGCTATGAAACTTGTTCCTTGTTTCTTTACAATAATATGTTTAAACACTTTGTCCTCATTAGACAATCAAGAGCACCTTCAAACACCTGCTCGTGTTTCTGTTCCACAACACGCCACCCACACCTTTCTACGCCACACCGTTTCACTGTGGCGCCAGGCTAGAGTGGGTCTGTCAAATACCCCGCGGTAAGACCACACGTGAAAGCACTAGCTGTAGACATAAAGTAAACATTGTTTTTTTTGTCTGTGAAGAGCTGACATTTGTAATGTCACTAGAATTTTGTGGCCTCACAACAGTTGAGGTATTTGTATAATTTTATATAACACGGCAATAAAGTAAATAAAAAGATTTCTCCACACGTGTTTTCAAAGCCTTGTGGGCTTATATATAAATCTACTAAAATGCAAGATGAGCTTGTTATAAAGTTTTGGTTACATTCTGCTTCCAAAGCTTTATTTGTTTTCTTATTTATTTATTGTTGATGCTTCAACAGGAAGGACACCGAAGACCCCAGACTGGTACAACCCTGGTAACAACCAAATCTTTCTAGAATCTGTCTTTAAAATTGTATTATCTTTCAGTTTGAGTTTACACTATAATTTGTGTCTCTCACTGGCCAGAATGCCTTTGATCCATCTTAGGTTTTTCTCAGTCTGATAATACAGGGTATCTGCAGGTCTTAAAAAGTATTGAATATAGTACTCTAAAAAGACCTTAGAGGGTATTAAAATGTGTTAAAATGTTTAATTTATGAAGGTCATGAATGTTTTTTTTTTTTATGTCTGCCATGGACAGAACTATTTGTTGACTGTTTGGAGAAGGTAACTAGCAAGCTCATCAACTCATAATGCATCGATTTTTTAACAACAGCTAAATTAACAAATAAAGGTTTTATGTTTTAATAAGTTCATCATAAGAGCATCAACGTTGGATGGTATTCACTAATGTATTTAGGTCTTACAGTTTTTCTCAGTCACTTTGGTATATTTCTGGAATCATCCTTGATATTTGCAGACAAGTAAGTGCATTCCTGGCAACATTTTGCACAAACAGCAATGCACAATGGATTGCCCACAAAAGCTCATCACTTGCTCAAAATCCTTAGTTTCTCTCTCAAACGTAAATACTTAAGTCAGTGAAAATGTCATTGCCATCAGAATGACAAGTCCTTGTGTCAGTGTATACAAACATGGCGGTCAGAATGTTTAGTCATGTTGTCAATGTAACAATGTAACGGGAAGCATTTTCATATGTAAACTATGGCTCAGGTTTTGATGACATACACAAGGCTGCACTTGTTCTGTATGGCATATATCAGTTTCAACAGTACAAAGTTTATCATTGTCATTGTGGTACAGAAAAGAAAGTGGTTTACTGTACTTCACAGCACAAAGGAAAACAAAATACAACATTAGAAATGTAAACGGAGGAAGCACCCCCTAAACAGAACAGATGTTCTCCCAACATTCAGTTTCCTTTGACCAGCCTCGGCCATTGTAAGGCCACGATTGACAACATGGTCCACAAGTGTGGCCTGATTTCATTGGGAACATGTTTATGTCCTTGGTCTCTTATCCACCTTCCTCTATTTTGTCTCCCTACTCTTCCACCACACAGCCCTTCTCTTCTTCTTCCTGACAGCTGATTTTGTTAATTCCCTTGTTCTTCCCTTGTTAGAAATTGTAACACTGTGTTGTGCTCTGCTTATATATGCTGGTCAATTGAAGGTTCATGAGCTATTGTACAGTAGAAGCTGGATGATCATTGGTTGATCTAACACTTCACACATCCCCCTTCATTAGTGAAAGTCATAATTCATCTGAGAGCCACTCATCAATTCAGACTAAAAAAGTCTAATAGAGCTGTATAGAAAAATACGTGACAGATGCTAAAGACAACTAGTTCATCCATTTTGCATGTAATAACAACTGCAACAAACTAATGGCTGGTTGTTTTGAGAGGTCAGACTGTTAAAGAGTGAACCATATACAGTAATACTAAGTGACTGGATGGAGGTTGAGCAAGTACTTTTGAGAATTTCATTACTGATCTGAGAAATGTACGGAAGCAACTGAGGAAAAACTGTAATGAGTCTTAAAACTAACTTGGTGAACCATGCAGAAACCCTGTGATAAAATAGTTTATGTGTAAGTCTGCATGTCAGCTGTTACCGTCTAAGATGTGTAACTGTTCCTGTTCTCTGATCTTGACTGTTATGTCTTTCAGGTGGGCACCATGAGACATCTGTCTTTGTAGATGGAGCAGAGTTCTGGTTTGTTAAGGAGCCTAAACTAGCTTTTGAGGAGGCAATGCTTTTTTGCAATGCAGAAGGTAGCAAACTGGCTACACCGCTCAGTTCCACTGCTGCCACAAAGATCCACCAGCAAATAAAAACTGTAAGTGATGTAAAGAGGATGTAAGTAGCCATGCAATCATGCCATTAAACGCACCACTTCTCTTCAGAAAATTGTTGCAGTCACAAATGCTTGGGTATTCTCATGTTTATTTCTTTGGGTTGCATTGGAACAACATAAAAAAGCTGAGAAAAACATTCCACACAGAACTCCAAAAATGCACTGGACAGAATTTTTGACACCCTCAACTTAATATTTGGTGGTACAACCCTGAAATCAATTGCTTCACTGAGTTTCTTACACCTATCTACTGGAATTTTGGACCACTCTTCTTTTGCCAGCTGCTCCAGGTCTCTTAAATTTGAAGGGTTCCTTCAACCTGCTCTTTTGAGATCTCTCCCCAGTGCTCTGGGGGATTTGGATCTGGACTCATTGCTTGTCACTTCAGAACTCTTCAGCTCATTGTCTGAAACCATTTCTGGGTCCTTTTGAAGTCTGCTTTGGGTCATGGTCCTGCTGTAGAAGCCTTGACACAAAGGTTGAGTCAACTTTTCTCCATTTTAACTGGTTGCAAGAGTGATTTCTAGATTGCCAGCAGCTGTTGATTGCTAAAGGTGAGTTTCATTCCAAATTAAAGGAGCATTGCGTGCTTAAAATACAACTATTTCTGATGATTTTGAAAAGGCGTCAATAATTCTGTCCAGTCCATTTTTGGAGTTCTGTGTGGAATAGATCAGATTAGGCTTTTTTTTTTCCCCCTCTGATTTTTTTGTTGTTCCAATACCATCAAAGCAAATAAACATGAGAATACAAAAGAATTTGTGATTGAAAAAATTTTCTGAGAGAAGTAGTTATCTGACAGAAATGCAGAGGTGCCATGACTGTACATGTTATTCTACTAAAAGTTGAGCAACAACGTGTTAATTAGACATACACTAGTAATATATGCAGCTTCTAATTGAGTAGAGATACCAATACTGTGGTTTATTTCATTCCTTGCACATCAGCTTGTGTGTTTTTGGTGTTGTAAGGCCTAAAGCAGACATGACTTTCCACCCTTTGGACCATTTACGCTGTATATTGAATATTGTTCTTATCCCAGTCCGGTATGTCTCAGCCTACGGCTTGGGTACAGTAGAAATTCGAAGCTTGTCATGCCTGGCTACAGCTGCTATGCTAAGATTGGACAGCTGCTGTATAGTGGTAGGGTTTAGCAAAATTCACTTTAGAAGTGCCTGTGAAATTAAGAAAGAAAGAGGTAAAACAAAGTCCAGCTGCCATAGACATCAATGTTCTCTTTTGAGGAAAAAAAAATCTGAACCTATAAGGGAAGAAGGAGAAATTTATATCTGGTATTTTTTGTTTCATGATGGCATTAATTCAGCAGAATATTGTTCCAGTATATGTCTATGTAGATGGAGACCGTATGTTGAAACAGCCAATAAAACCTTGCATAAACAGTAACATCAGAGTTGTCTCATAGGCAGAGCAGATGGTCACACTGAGTCAGACAGCAGCCTGCTACATAATATGAGCCACAGACACTGACTAACAACCCACATTAGCTTCCCTAAAGTCTCTGTCTCATTAAAAAAAAAAAAAAAACATGAACACATATCTAGTCCAGCACCATAGCCTGTGGAATGAGTGACCCAAAAAACATTCACCAGGGAGAAGGGCACTGCTAATGTAAGTTTGCTGGCTCCCCTGGTGATCCTGGTGTGGCTATTACTCCTCAAAATCATTGCTAACAACACACTCTGTGCCCATGACTTGTAGCAACAGCGTACGTTTAACATTGACACAGACACCTCCATCTGGCTGAGACCAAAATGTGCATTTCTGATATTTACCCAAAGGCCTTTTTTCTTCATTTTAACAATACAAAACTATTAGCTAGTTATTAAAAACCCTTTGACATTATTTTAGATTACCAGAAGGGATAACTAAATGCAATTTGGTCTTATTTTCCCTCTCACTTTGCAGTTTGCCCTGTTTATATAGTTGTCTCCCTATTGGCCTCTCTAGTTGATTTGTAGACCCTTAAGTGTGAGGTCGTTCTTTCCACAATGTTCTGGTCATGGGAAGTGACAGTGATTTGTGAGAATACAGCTGGAAGCAGTCAAACGGTAGAAAAGAAAATATATAATGCTGTAGAATACACACTGGAAAGTGGAACTAAATAAATTAACTATACAAACATTAGTGTCAAAGCCTAAAAGCATACTTCTCACTATCAAATTTTTTGAAAAATGTGAAATGCAGCTCATCTGAGTCTGCTGCATCAGTTTTCATTGTTCTGTCTTCTGACAACTGCTTGTCCAACTTCATGGACCAAGTCAGAGCTGGGAATAAAGTTGATGATATAATTATTTTATTATGTGTTACATAAGTTTGCATGTTTTGTACAGATATCAAATTCTTCTAAGCAAAACTGGTGGGTCAACTTGCAAGAGCCTGGGCGGATATTTCCTATGACGTAAGCCACTGCAGTCACACGTGCAGTATACTGTTCATGTTGTTCAAACACAGTCTAGAAGATATACTGTATGTGGTAAAATGGAATGTTGATGTTGACTGAGAAAATGTATGTTTTAGGAATACCGAGATGTACTTTTATGCTTTCCTGGGCAGATGCACCTCCATCACTCCTGAAGTCATCTTTCCAGGTGAGTAAACGGCATAGTGTTTCCACGCAGTTTAGGATTAAATTTATCAGACAGAAAGCAACTTTTACCTCAGTCAGCAGAAGAAAAACAGCCATGTGAATGAGAGGCTGCATTACGTTCCATGCATATATACAGTATACACACACACGTTTGTTTTTGTCCAGATGGGAACTTGACATTGAAACTTCCCCTAACCTTAACCATAACCACTACTTGCCTAACCCTTAAAGGATAAGGCCAGACATTTTCTATATTAACAGTTACAGAGACTCAAACCAACCACCTCCTAATCACTGTTAATGACTGTTAGTCCTGGATTATCTTATTCATCAGGGCCCTAGACCTTCATTGTTGTTCAGAAACAATTAAACCCATCAGGGAAACATATGTTGATGTTTCCTCATTACGAAACACCAGACCCCGAATGGCCATAATGTTTGATAGCATCCGAAGTAAGTAAGAATCGAGGGCCCATGTGCGAGATCTCTGGATCTTCTTTTTAGGGTCTTATGTTTCTTAATGAGGAAATATGTGACTAAGTGCAGTGGTGTGTTTCCCTGATGTGTGTTTAATTGTTTTGAAGAGCAATGAGGTCTATGGCACAGACAAATTGACAAAAATTAACTGTGAGTAGAGGGAAATCATTGTTTGATTTTAGTTTCTGTATAACCAAGGTTTTAAAGCTGAAATTTACATAACTGTGGTTAAAAATTCCACCCTCCTTTTTTTATTTTATTTTATTTTGGAGTAACTTCTAATATTTACGTGATATTAGTTTGAAACAATGTAACTAGAAAACAATTGCAAAAGGCAAGAGTAGCAACATTTTAAATGTCTTGGGAAATTGTCCAGAGCAGCATAAAACAGTAAGGTAACATTAGAATTTGTTTCAGAGACCAAAAGGCTCCGATACACATTACTTGATTTGATTCATAACTGGGATGCTTACAGTCTTTTTTAGTAACATGAAAATGTACCATTATATTTTTCACTTTTAGACAATAGAGGCAGCTGCCAACAGCGGTTGTCCTTTGTGTGCGAAAGACACAACATCACATCAGTGGAGAAAAGCCCTCTGGAGCCTCGACCTGGAGGACTGCCCTGTGGAAATGGCTCGCTGTCTTTCAGAAATAAGGTCTGCTCTTTCATCTACATTTTAGACACTGCATGACACTTAAAATTGCTTAACTTCACTTTCTGTGGTCTGTCTCTTGCAACCCTTGAATGATTGTGTCAGACAGAATTGCTGTTGAAGCCGAGAGAGAGTAGAGCTAAGGAAAGAAGATGATATATAAGATATATATATATATATATATAGAAGATATATAACTGTTATTAAAACAAAAATACATGTGGAGACATTAGATTTTAATGTAAAAATAAAAACATCCTTTTCTGTGTTAACCAGACATTATTAAAGAGTTAGGGCTTCTTTGTAAAGTCATTTTCTTACTGCTTGGGTGACTCTGTGATCATGTGCACTTAAAGAAGATGGACGCAAAGATTTTATTCAAAATATCTTTGTGTGGTATTAGCCCACTATACATCTCTCTGTATGTAATATTATTAAACCTTTATTCAACCATTAAGTCACTTGAGATCAGTTATCTTTATAAGAGCCTTCAAAATGGCAGCGTAGAGTATTTAACAACAGGACACACACAAAAAGCAATCAGACATCCAGTTATAGCAATATAGTGTCCAGTATATCACAATAACATATTGACTTTTTTTGTCAGTGCTACACACTGATGGGGAGCAGGAAGCCTGTGAAATTAAAGTCTGCCAATGAGGAATGCATGTCCATGGGGGGATCCCTGGTGTCTATATTAGATCAGGTGGAGCAAGGTAAGGATCACACTTGTTCTGGTTCTGTGATAAACATGGTCAATATGCCTGTCATAATGCGAAATACACCAAGTACCTTGTTTTCCTATGTTTGATAAAATTCATATTTGAACCGGTGACATAAGAAATAGTTATTCTTCTGAATCAAAATCCACGTTCCATTGAACACAAAAAATGGTTGCTTTCTATGTGTGTATGTTTCAGACTTCATCACCACCCTTTTGCCAAGAATGACAAATAAGGAAAAGATATGGATCGGTCTGAAGTTCAGACGCAATGACCCTGAATGGGCGGACAATGACCCTGAATGGGCGGACAAGTCTCCAGTTGACTACCTGAACTTTAATCCCCTGCTTCTGCACATGCACAAGGCTATAACTATCAATGTAAGTTCTACTTACCTTCAATTCTGTATTAAAGGGAACACCACCCATTTTCCATACCAGAGATAAAAATGCTGCAAGTTATGTCACTAGAGTCTGCATCGGTTGTAGCTGAGGATTGCAAGCTTGGAAATGAAAAAAGTTTGAAAGAAAGTTGACAGATCTGAAAGTTGAAAGAAAGAAGGGAGACTATCAGACCTTTGTGATCCACCCCTTATCTCTGCTTGAAGTAGACTAGAGGCTTCATTAGCTGCTGCTCCCATAACACAGAATAAATTGGCAGCAGTTGAGTTGTATCTAGTAATGTAGGCTCCACGTTTTAACAAGGAAGAAGAATGGAATAAAAAGGACAGTATTTTTGGTTCTGCTTTTTTACTATCTGACAGTGTTCCTCAGAGATGCACATTGATAAAATATGTTCTTTACTGTTGGCACTGGACCGTGGTAGCTCATGGTAAAGGAACGTTTCAAACTGAAAAGAGGCTTTTTTTTTCCCTTTTATTTTGACAAAACAGAACAAAAACAGTTATTACATTCATAAAAACACATCGCAAACAAAAACCAAACACCCCCCACCCCTCCAAAATACAAAATGCCACTAATTTATCTTCCTATCACCATTATAATCATATCTCACAGAATAACAAACTGGAAGAAACAACCTATTTTTAAATATCAAAAGTGGCTTAATTACATTGAAATGCACGGTGTAATTGTTGTTTGTATTTTTTTCTCTCCCTCTGTTTTTGATAGCCCTTGGATCCAGAGAGTTTTAATTTGTGTGTGTTTTTGATCAATAACCCTAACTCTGCCATGCTGGGTACCTGGGACTATTCTTCCTGCACACAATATCAAAATGTGGGCATTTGTCAACACTATGCAGGTAAACCACCATTTCCTGCACTTAATACAACTTTATTATCCAGATTTTACTGCAGAACTGACAGTCAGGTTACTTAGTCAGGCATGCTCCAGTTCCTCGTAGCATTTTGTGCGCCTCTGTGATACAGCTGTAGCTTGAAGCATTATGTTTTTGGGTTGTCCATCCTGCCCATTCTTGTTAACACGCTATCTCAGGAACGCCTCAAGAAACTTTCTTTCAATTTGGCACAAACGTCCACTGGGACTCAAGGATGAACCGATTAGATTTTGGTGGTCAAAGGTCACTGTCCTGTTTTATCAAGTATATTTTATTAAGTTGATGTCTGTTATGGTAAAGATTGGTACATAATAAGTGGCTTCAACCTCAACCTCTTTTAGGGAGAGATCTCATGGTTGAGGTGCCACATACAGTAGCAACTGCAATGTGCACAATTCAAATCTGGCAAGGGTCTTTGTTGCATGTTGTTTCCCATCTCTGTCTCTCTCACACATTTTCCTCTTTTTTTTCTACAGTCTTATGCAAAAGTTTAGGCACCCCTTGATAAATAACAGATTTTGGTGATTTTTTTATTTGAACAGATGTTAACACAGTTTCTCTTGGAAATGGAAAAAATGCACAATATTTTCAGCAAACAGTGATGCATAGTTACTTCTTATGCCATAAATTGAACAAAAATAAAAAATAAAAACATTATTATGGCATGGTGCAAAAGTTTGGGCACCCTAAGAGTTCCAGAGTCTCAAAGTCTCTCACAAGGTATCAGACCTTAATCAGCTCGTTAGATCTGATGCACAGCAACAGCTGTCATTGGTAAATGCCAATTTCAAAGCTGTACAAATACTTTGACTCTTCAAACCTTGTGCACACACTTGTGGACACCCAGCAACCATGGGTTCCTCTAAGCAGCTGTGTAAGACCCTGAAAATGAAAGTTATTGACGCCCACAATGCAGGAGAAGGCTACAAGAAGATAGCAAAGCGTTGTCAGCTTGCAGTTTCCACAGTAAGAAATGTAATTAAGAGATGGCAGATCAGGGGAACTGTGGAGGTCAAGATGAGATCTGGAAGACCAAGAAAACTCTCGGACAGAACTGCTCGTATGCTGGTCAGAAAGACAAATCAAAACCCCCATTTGACTGCAAAAAACCTGCAGGAAGATTTAGCAGACTCAGGAGTGGTGGTGCACCGTTCCACTGTGCAGCGATGCTTGCACAGACAAGGCCTTCATGGAAGAGTCAGCAGAAGAAAACCTTATCTGCGTCCCCATCATAAAATCCAACGTCTGAAGTATGCAACAGGACATCTACAGAAGCCCGATGCGTTTTGGAAACAAGTGCTGTGGACTGATGAAGTTAAAATAGAACTCTTTGGACACAATCAGCAAAGGCATGTTTGGAGAAAAAAAGGAGCAGCATTTCATGAAAAGAACACCTTGCCAACTATTAAGCATGGGGGTGGATCTATCATGCTCTGGGGTTGTGTTGCAGCCAGTGGCACAGGAAACATTGCACGGGTGGAGGGAAGAATGGATTCCACTAAATACCAGCAAATTCTGGAAGCAAACATCACACCATCTGTAAAAAAGCTGAAGCTGAAAAGAGGATGGCTTCTACAACAGGACAATGATCCTAAACATACCTCGAAATCCACTATGGAATACCTCAAGAGACGCAGGCTGAAGGTTTTGGAATGGCCATCACAGTCCCCTGATTTAAACATCATTGAAAATTTGTGGGTAGATCTTAAAAGAGCTGTGCATGCAAGACGACCAAAGAATATTACAGAACTAGAAGCCTTTTGCAAGGAAGAATGGGAGAAGATCCCAAGTACAAGAATTGAAAGACTTTTAGCTGGCTATGAAAAGCGTTTGCAAGCTGTGATATCTGCCAGAGGAGGTGTTACTAAGTACTGATTGTGTAGGGTGCCCAAACTTTTGCACCATGCCATAATAATGTTTTTATTTTTTATTTTTGTTCAATTTATGGCATAAGAAGTAACTATGCATCACTGTTTGCAGAAAATATTGTGCATTTTTTCCATTTCCAAGAGAAACTGTGTTAACATCTGTTCAAATAAAAAATCACCAAAATCTGTTATGTATCAAGGGGTGGCAATAAAGCTGTATCTACTGTGACCTTTCTAGTAAAAGGCATCAAGGGCCGAGATAAATACTTAAAAAAAAAAAAAAAAAATTCCACCTCTTTTTGCAACTGAGGCATTGCAGCAACAGCACAGCTTTCATGAGATGATGTTCTTTAAACACAAAGCTTACTCATTTCAGAAAAAGTAGAGGAGCCCCACATCCCAACAGAGCCATTCCACGTCAATAACCACACCTTCCTGCTGCTTGTCCAAAATGTCACCTGGTTCGAGGCCATAGAGCACTGCAGAAATAATAGCATGGACCTGGCAAGTGTGGCTGACACCTTAGTCCAGGCCACCCTCACTGTGCATGTGAGCCGTGCACGCACGCCCATGTGGATCGGCCTCTTTAGCGAAGATGTAAGTAGACCAAGGAAGTGCTGCCTTTTATTTTAATCCTCTATTTCTACAGTATTATTTTGAATGTGTTTCTCTTGGCTTTCATGGGGTGTTCAGGATGGGATCCACTACCGCTGGACCGACCACAGTCACACTGTGTTCAGCCGTTGGTCTTCTGAAGTCACCAGTGGCCCTTGCGTCTTCCTGGACACTGATGGCTTCTGGAAAGCCACCTTGTGTGAGGACAAGCTAGGAGGCGTTATCTGCCACAAACCACATGGTGAGTGCAGATCCTGCTAGTGGTGGAACTGATGGTGTATGAAAATCTTTTTCTAGATAGGGAAAATTGTGGAACTTCACTCTGCGAATTCTCTCAGGAATTTTTTAACAGCTGCCACTTCTAGCACATTTTCTATGTTAACAGGATGTAGAGTCTGTTATCTGCTATCTGGTTATCTGTTTCATCTCTTCTAAAATGTCCTCCTGCCGTGTTGGCATGCATCAGGATGCTTGCCAATATTAACATTTTGAAAATATCTAAATAAATAGGTGAACTTGTTTATTACAGAAGAGATCATCACCACACCAGAGGATGTTGCAGTGAAGTGCCCCCATAAGATTAACGGTCCAAACTGGATCCCCTTCAAGAATAACTGTTACTCCTTCCAGCTGGTCTCCACCAGATGGGAGCAGTTTGACCGGGGACAGATTCACGACACCTGCAAAAAATTTCGTGAGAATTTTACACAATTGGGCACACGTTGTTATGTGGAGGCTCGCTTATGATCCTTTTTATAACAGACTGATGTTGCAAACATTACTAATAACGGTTTTATTGTGCAGATGCAGAGGCAGACATCCTAACTATCCGAAATACAGAGGAGAATGAGTTTATCAAGCAGCAGCTCCTACAGTTTCAAAACCTGGTCCACTTTGTATGGCTGGGGATGTTCATGGATAACAACGGTTGGTGTTTTTTATTTTGACTACAAATCTTTAGTTAGTAAATATAGATTTTCTTTGGTCACTACATGTAGGTACTTCTATAAGCATCACGGTCAGTGTTTTCGATTCCTTTTTCAATTGAAATAGGGGTGTGACACATTTTTTCACTAGTACAGGTCCTGACAGTGAAATGCTGCTGAAGCCTTCTGGTTGGTTTATCCAGGCTATGTTAATATATGTTACCAGTATGGTTTGCTTATAGGATTTTTACCTGATGAAGGACTGAGAACCAAAATGTTGTATACGTGTTTGACAGTGTGCAGGATTTCTGCTATAGTGTTTTAGGCTTTTCCAGTAAGACGTACAATTTATCAACCTTGATATTGATCCTTGGTGTGTGTGTATGTGTATTTATGTCATTATACCAGGTTTAATATTGATTTTGTTACACCGTAGATAATCAGATGAAGTGGTATGATGGCACAAATGTCCAGTATTCCAACTGGGCAAAAGGCAGACCGAGTGTAAATGGACCGTTTTTGGCTGGTCTCACCATTAAAGGCACCTGGCTCATCGTTCCAAGTCAGAATTTATTCCCAGAATTCAAAGAAGTCACTATTGTGGCCTGCAAGCTGGACAACGGTGGGTGTGTCACACTTCACATTACAATATATTTTTCTCTCTCCGCCACTGTTGTTATAATTACTGAAAATATATCATGCTTGAAATGTCTTATATGTTTTTAATCCTCCTCTCCCAAGAAAACAAACAGGAATACAGCCAGTCACCCAGGGATTTTCAGCATTATGGCAATTTAACTTATGAGCTTGTGACCCGAAAGCTGAATTGGTACCAGGCTCTGGAAGAGTGTGGTCAGCGTGGAGGCCACCTGGCAAGTGTCCATGACATCCAGCACAGTGCACATGTGAACCTCATTGTCAAGCTAGACGGCTTCCCGCTCTGGATTGGCCTGTCGAATCAGGATGTAAGAATTTTGCTTAGCCTAAATCTGATCACAAATATTTTTAAGTTAATTACAATTGAGATTAACACACTGCGACTGCATCCCATAGATTTCTTTCACATGGCGGTGACTCATCTCTCATCTTTGCTCAGCATTTCATTTCCACTGCTAACAAGATGGACTAACAACATGAGTCTCTCTCTCTCCATGCAGGTCAGTGGTTCAACCTATGAATGGTCTGATGGAACGAGATTTGACTACAACCACACCATCTCTGACTCAAATGAGGGCTCCAGCTCAAACAAACGGGCCAGCTGTGTTTTTGTAAACCCTGCTGGAGCCTGGGTGAGAACTGACTGCAATTTGCCAGTAGACGGTGCCATCTGCTACACTACCACCATCACCACCACTTCCCAAAGTAAGACACCCATGGTTTGGGGATTTTGGGGGCAAACCCAGCATCACTGAATTCCTATGGCAAAATTGTACTACTCTGTAAAAGTGATGTAACTACCCCATGACTTTGTGTTGGAATGGCTTTGGCCATCGCCCATTTTGTTTCTGTATTGTTCTAAATCAGGAGCCAGACTGCATGCTGCCCCAGAGGCCAATCACTGCCCTCAGAACAGCGGTGTGTCCAAGTGGGTGCAGCATCAGGATCACTGTTACGCCTTCGACATGAGCTTCTACAACTACAAAGTCTACAGCATGGAGCAGGCCAAAAGCATGTGTCAGCGCATGGGTGAGTTGTTGTTGTTGTTGTTGTATTCATCTGAAGCAACTACAGTCCCCTAATTGTTTTCTTTTCTTTCTCCTGACAGATGCTCAGATGTTGACCATAAAAACCAAAGAGGAGAATGATTTTGTGTTAAAGTACATGTCCGATGATCCTCTCATCACCAGGCGTGTATGGCTCGGCATGGACTTCGACACTAAAGGTAAACCCCATAGATAAATCCAAGTTAGTTGGTTCTAATTTAAACTGAGTAAAACGGGTATTAAAATGTCCGTTGATTAATTTCCGAGTGAAAATGTTTACATGACATAAACAAAGGAAGAAATTAAAAAAAAACAACAGACCATACCTGACATATCTTAGCTTGATTGACTCAGGGAACTCGTGACTGAAACACCAAATGTTCTTTAGTAGCATGTATCCATGACTGGGATCTTCTACTGATTGTTGTTTTTTTTTTAAGCCACACAACCAACATTTTTATATTTGCAAGGGATCAGATGATTTTGCATGATGTGAAAGGCATTGTCTGTAGCACTTCATTGTCTTTTGGTTTATGCCTGTTCCTTTACTGTTTGGCTCAGTCTCACTGGTGGCGCAATTTGTTTTGTGAGACTGATTATCATTCTTAACCCCCCTCCCCCCATCTCCCCGTTCTTCTTCTCAGGTAAGCCTATATCCTGGCACGATGGCTCAGCTCTGGTTTATTCTAACTTGAAGAATGAGGCCACTGGGCAGCAGTCAGAGCCACTCTGTGCCGTCATGATGGTAGGAGATGAAGGAATCTGGAATGTTGTCAGCTGCGAGACTAGCCACAGCCGTGTTGTCTGCAAAACTGAAGCAAGTGAGTATCACAACTGCACAGAAGGAATAGTTTAACATTATGGAGTGTACACTTATTTTACTGTAGTTGACACGATGGACACCACTCTCATATCAGTACAGTAAAGTACAGTGGGGTGGGGGGTAGTAGCTGACTAAAGTTACAGAAGCAAGCTTGTGACTGAAAGGTCACTGGCTCAGTTCTCAGACCGGCAGGATGGTGGTTGTGTCGGGCAGCTTCCCCGTGCGAATGTGATCAGAGTGTTCCTGAATAAGGCGGCCTATCAGTGAACCTGCCCTGAAATAAATAAAGGTTAAAAAATGTTGATGGAGCTCTCGGCTGGTTAGCTTGACTTGGTTAGCACAAAGACTGAAAATTCACAGAAGCCACTAGCTTGGGTCTGTCTGAAGATAAAAAGTTGCCATGTGAGCAGTAGAGACTACTGGACGTTGTTGAACATGGCCAAGAAATAGTCTGGTTTACACTCAAGTTTTTGTGGAGACTAAACTAACAGTAATACTAATTAACACATACAGTATTACTGTTTTAAAGGTGCTGGTCTGTGGATTTAGTTACCTTTTGACTTAAACCAAGGCTAGCCGTGTCCACAAAAGCAAAGCTAAGTGACTGCTGGCTGCAACTTCATATGTACTGTACAGATGCGAGAGTGATATCAGTCTTCTCATTTAACTCTTGGCAAGAGATCAAACAAGCTTATTTGTAAAATTCATCTCAGCACCTAATTTCCACCATTTCAAAAGTTAAATAACTTTGTCAGCAGTAGTGGTTTTGCATATTATAGCCCAGATAAATATTCTTTATATTACTTGGTCTTACACAAAGCATTTTAACTCGGATAAAAGCCGAATAAACTCAAACACGATCACGCATGATCTTGTTCGGTAAAACTGCCTGTGTGATGACTGGCCAACATTACTTATCATCCTCAGGGTCATCCGGCTCTCATGTGGCGCTGGGTCTCTTCATCGTGGTCCTCCTTGTTCTCCTTCTAATTGTCGCCTTCATCATCTATAAGAGGAAAAGACCCCACTTCTCTACTACTGTTCGCTACAAGCGGACCTATGATGAATCAGACACCACTAGTATGATAACAGATGCTGAGTGAGCTTGCATAAGGAATCAACCTCAGGGAGTATTGAGGTGCATGCCTTGTGTGCATTTTAGTATTTTTCAGAAAGAGCAGGTGCAGCCTTCCCCTTTTTTAAATTATTTATTTATCCTGCTCAAGCCAGAAACCTAGAACCACGTGTAAATTCAGTTTCTTAATTTGGGTTACTTTAGATCCCTTGGTTATACCTAATGTAAATACTTTGGCTGATTTTGTTTGGTGAATGTTGAGAGTTTTTTTAAATGTGTTTTGGGGGTTTTGAGATTGTAAAAAGATTTTTAGTTGTTATACAGAAATATGCAACCTGATAAAATCTGTCTTGCACTTACATTCAGTCTTAAATGGTTAATTTGCACTGATGTATGAGTGACTCCAAACCACCAGAAACAAAATGTGCAGTTGCTTTAATGTACTATACCATTTATACAAATGGTTCCAAATTCATTTTTCAGCCTCAGACTCTTTGATTTCCACATGGTGAATGAAATCAGTACATTAATAGACTTTTCAAAGACAGTTCACCTGAAATACAGTGAAACTTTCTTCTTTTTGGACTGTATTTATGAGAAACCTTGCTGTTGAGTTCTCATAGAAGTAGTTGTACATTGTTTTTTGGGACTGAGCTCCACATTATTGGCATGAGTTCATATCTTTCAAACTTCAGCAAATCACTATTAAAGCTATCTAAACTGAGACATTGTGCTCAGGTCAAGCAAATGCAAACTTTTTAGATGGACTGTGCCTTGTAGAAAAATTTGTCATGGATGAAACTCACTGATTGTGCCTTTTAACATCACTACTTCAGAAGGAATTGGAGTTCTAAAGCCACTGGATAGGGTTGCTTTATATGCATTTACTGACTCAGTTTACTCATTAATACCTACAAATATGTTTTGGTTTTCAACGTATCAATGAGGGAGAGGGAAACTGAAGATTTCATTCTGATTGGCTTTAAAAGTGTAGGACACAGTTCAAATGAATCAGACACCTGCTTCATAATTTTTGTAGATCTGATTTTACTATGCACTTAACTACTGAGCAAGAACGCACTTTAATATGTTGTGGAGCTACAGTTCCAATAATGCTTAAGCACAATGAGTTTTGAAGGGTTTTTAAAGATGTTGAGAATGCACTGGTGTTTGCTGTACATGCTTTGTAATTATGTGATGTTTGTTTTATAACAAGAACAAACCAAAGATCCGCTGACTTGTTTGAATGCCAAAGCCTGAGATTTTCTTTCAGTTTGTGGAACCGCCATGCTGCAGCTTGTTAACCCGTTTAAACCGAGTTGTAAAACAAATGTTAAGTCTGTTTCCCACCACTCCTAAACAGATCTGTCAACTCCAATAAGGTACACCTTCCTTTCAATAAAAATGTCTTGCCTCCAAAGACTTCTTCAATCTTCAGTCTTGGCTGTAATAAGTGCTATGTAAGATAGTATTGTAAACTATCATTTTCTTTATATGTAGTTAGGCTTAAGCTTATTTCATTGTCTTTCAGCTCACTCTTTTTGTGTTATGACCTACAACTTCAGTGTGTGGTTCAGCCCCACTGCCCTCATCAGTATCATTTTCTAGTGGTTGCACTTACACATCATTATTCATTTAATATTTTGTTGGTGTTGATTGTTTTATTGGAAAAAAAAGAGCCCTTGTATCAGAATGGAACTGAAAAAATATGGATTGGCCCATCACTACTCCATGGGCTCAGCCATTAGAGTAGGTACTTTATTGATCCCATTATACTTGCACCTGTCTCAAATGAAGTCGCTTGATCTGTTGTTGCACTATAAGTGGCTGGAAAAATTGTTTTACCCCTTTAATTTTATAAAATCATGCTCAACATTTGGATTTTTTGACAAAAAAAAAAAAAAAGCCTAGCTTGAACCGTTTTTTTATTTTTGTCAAAAAAAAAAAAACTATTTGTCCATGATTGTTTATAAAATCAATAAAAGGATAAAACATCCAAGGGGTTGGACACTTTTTATAGATGCTGTATTTTATCCAAATTGCTGAACAAAGCAGACATGATGGCAAGTCACAAGTCTGAACCCCCACCCCCCCACCGCAAACAACTCTATACTGTACATGCAACATTAATAGAGCAATACAAAATGGTAAAGTAGACAAACGGTAGCTTGGAGTCAGTCTTTATTCCCAAAACTAAAAGCATGAAACTAGATTTGTACATACAACACATTTAAAACATTAATAATTAGCCAGCAGCACAATTTTTAACTCTCACTGTGAAACAAGGAAAAGACAACAAAGAAATCACTTTTTATATTCTCTTCTGGAAACATTCACTTACCATCACAACTTAAGTTGAACTCACTTCTCACGGTGCCTTATTTCAAAGCACTTGTGGTATAACGGTTAGAGACTTGCATTTTTATTAAAACATAAGTAAATAAAGTGCACTCATAGAAACAAATACAGTGCTGTTAAACTAAATATTGTATGCACTTGCTCATTTCAAGTTTGCATATCTGCAAAAGCCACCAGCAGCAAAGGCGAGATGTTCTCTGTGCTTGGCGTTTCTCACTGCTGTTACATTTCAAAGCATATGTGAAAACTGGATGAGCTGCTACATGGCATAGAGTAGCCCCATAACTTCAGTCCCTCGTTCCACTTTCACACAATTCGTACTCTTCTTCAAGATCGTCGTCCAGGTCAGAAAACTCAATAGAAGGTCTGTTGTCTTGAACCTCCTCATCACTTTCTCCATGGGGATCTGCAATCCAGAGACACAAGTCAGAAGCTATACCGATATAATGAAGACAAGTGACTGATCTATAGTATACTCCAATTCACAGAAAGCCAGCAGGTAAACATGGCATTTACAGATCAAAGTTCACGTGCACGAATTAGGACTGCCTTTCAACATATAGAGAAGCCACATACTTTCCAGATTGTCCATGTGGTCATGAAGAATTCTCACCAGGTTGAATAACTAGGTGAGAAAGGGAAGAATTGTCTCTCTTCAAAACTACCACAATTCAACATTATACATTTTTCAAATTATTAAAAAAAAAAAAAAAAAAATTTCAATGAAACATCTGGTTCAAGGATATACTGGCAAGACTAGAAAAAAGCAGGAACCCCAGTAATGTAACTTAACAATACAATAATTTTGGGAAAGACCATTTTAATCACTGTGCTGAATTAGCACTGAGTAAATCTAAGTGTTCTCACCCCGGCTCCATCGACAGCTCCCAAAACATCGGAGAACCTCTGCTCACAGAAATGTAGCAACACTACGAGATAGAGGCCACTGCTGATGAACTCGTCATATTCCGACTGTTTAAAAACAAAAAAAATATTTTGCATTTAGAATACACACAAATGCTCATCTTATTAAAATGATAGGTTCAGGGTTTTACCAAGTTTTACCCCCCCCCCCCCTTCTTTTTTTGTTTGTTTTAATATATAGTCTCATGGTCAGGGTCAGTGTGGAGAGTAGACAGATGACTTTATTAATCCCCAAGGGGAAATTCTGGAATAGTCAACATTACGATTAAGACCCTTTCTGTTCAGTATATTTAAAAAAACAAACATTAATGTAATGGACCAGTTAGGAGTACTGATAAAATACTGCAATGCTCCATCCAATCACATTGCTTCTCCAATATGGTTTCCGTTTATAGTTCAGTTAGTTATTTAACTTAAATCCACCATAACGAGTTAGTCAGCCTAAGAAAACTGAGGCCCTTCATTTTTGCTTTAAACACGTTCTGCACATTCTGAGACTGTCTTCCCTTACTCAAGACAATGACATGACTCACTTGCACATGCATCCTGTACAACTCCTGAATGTCAAAGTTGTCTATGTTCAGGCGTAGCTTCTCCTTGCAGAGCTCACATGTTGTGATAGCCTCAAGGTTTGTGCCTGAAAGAACAAGAAAAAAAAACAAAACAAAACACATACGAAACACACTTTGATGGATCCATGATGTTGGTGAAAGTCACAGCCACATCAGGGGTCTCTATTTACCTGAGCCGATTTTGGAACGGAGCCACCTCTTGATGCATTCCTGGTGGACATACTGCAGACTGCCTGCACAGCGGCAAGGCTGAATCAGGGGGTTGGACGCCGATTCCTCCCTCATTTGGCAGATTCGGCACAGGTCGCCTTCTTCCTCGTCAGAGTCCTCCAAAAGCAGTCTAGAGCAGGAAAAGAGGATGTTTAGCTCTCCAGCTGATAAATCCCAATTTCAAATCAAATCTATTTAGATAACACTTTAAAAACATCCAGTTGACCAAAGTACTTTACATGGCAGAATAACATCACATCAAATATCTAAAATAGAATGCATCAGGCCCTACAATTTCCTTTTTTGATTTATTGAATGTAAAATGCTGGACAAATTAACACCTGTTCTACAGTGTGAACAGTTTGTAACTAACTGAGCTAGCTTAACATGCCATGGTAAATACTTATGAACCAACAGTATTACTGTACATCAGTTTTTATATTTTATTGTCCTACTCCTAGTGTGATGCCAATTACCCAACTTATCTGAAAAATATGCAGTTTTCTTTATACATAACACAAAAAAAACAAGAAACAAAAGTAATAAGTGCATATTCTGTGGGAATCAAAACCCACTACCTCTCCTTGATCTTGCGCAGCTTCTCTTCATCCCTACTGAAAGTGGGCTTATCTTTCTGGTCCTCCAACTGGCTCCCAACACCGCTCAACAGACCCACAGGAACCGAAGTGTTCTCATATACTGCAACTCTGTGACGTGGTGAAAATTGGATGGACGCATCCTCGAGCTCAGGTAAGGTTTCGTTCTCAAGTTGATGTGGACGACCTGCTCCAAGGGCCTCTAGACCAACTGCTCCTTCCTCTTCTTCTTCCTCATCCTCATCATCATCTTCCTCCTCCTCCTCCTCCTCCTGTGATACTTTGTACTCCGGATCATCCCACCTTCTCAGGAAATGCTGTGGATGGCTGTAATCTTCTTGTGAGCCTGTAGCTGAGTGTGCACTCGTGTCCCTAGCATGTCTTCGGAGGCGAGAGAGGACGGGAGGGTAGAGGCCACGGAGGGAGGGAGAAAGCCAGGAGGCACTGCTGCCACCTCCGCTGCTGGTGTTATTTCTCCTGCTGGTGCCAGCCTCTCTCCACAATGGCATTCTTGTACGAGTCAGACCACCACTATGATAGCCATGGCTGCTGACATCCTGGCTAGGGGTGTGGCCTGCTCTAAGATTTCTCAGGCTACCCAAGGTTGTCTCTGACCTTCCAACATCAGGGTCCACATATGGCATCCTGGCTCCCTCGTCACTGTCCACAGACTCGCTGCTAGTAGATGGACTCTCATCGTCAAGGGAGCGAACACTGGAGGATCCACTAGAAGAGTCCTGGCTGGAGCACCGTGACAGGAAATGGGACAAAAGGCGTCGTGAGTTTTGACGATGCTGTGACTCTCTAACTTCAGGGTCTGGTCTTGGGTGTGTAGCCTCTGGTCTGGCCAGGTGAGCAGTATACCAAGGGGTACGGGAAGAGTAAGATGAGGCGCTATCTGAGGAGGATTCCAGATGTCCTGTTTGTTCCTGAGATGAGTGGCGAGTGGATGAGCCATTTGAGAAACAGGCTGTGGTTCTATTGCCAAAATCGTGCACCAGAGGAGATCGGTGGGAGGTAGAAGATGAGACGTGGCGATTTCGAGAGCTTTCTCTAGCAGAGGAGGAAGTGTAGGTAGTTTCTTTAGGCCGAGCTCCCTGTGCATACGTGGAGGCCACCCTGTCTGCCTGATCTGAAATGAGGGGGATGGAAGAGCAGTATGTGTAAGACCAACATATGTGTAGCAAAATACAGTATTTACACAGTACTCTGTGCACGTGTTTACAACACAAAATATGCCTACACAATGAGGAAGCCAGTGGTTGACTCCTAACTCTTCTTTCTCCTAAACCTGGGAGACTGGGCTCATTCTTTGTCTCCTGCTCTTTCCTGAACAACAGAGGTTTTGAGGATGAAGCCGATGACCGAGAGAGTAAACGGCATGAGCTCCATGATGAATCACGTGTGTCACTTTCTTTGTCACTAGTACCTGTGAAGAGGCAAACAAAACAAGCTGCTGTGAGGTTTACCCAGTTCATTTTCCAAATCAGATAAATATAGATGGGAATAGTTCCGTGTACCTCTGCTGAGCCCATTACTGGATCTTGTAACTGAGGTGCTGGAGTACAGTCCTCTGTTGCTGTATGACAGTTTGACCCTTTTAGAATCGCCATCATCATTGGCATTCAACAGAACTGAATGCAACCCCAGTCTCCCTTCAGAACCAATCTGGGAAAACAAAGGCAGATTGGGGGGGGGTTGTATTTCAATGACACAAATTATCAACTAATACATTTGACTAGGCTGTATTTTGCAGTTATAAATAACAAAAGAACTTCAATACCAGTTTGCTCCTGCTGCTTAAAGAGGATTCAGCTGACGGGTGATCATTAAATCTGTTTGAGGACGTCAGAGAAGTGGGCAACTTCCAAGTGGCAGCGTGACGGTCAGAGCTGCTGTAGTCTCTGGATGAGCTAACAAGATGAGCCTGCTTCAAAAAGAGAGAAGGCAAAACACGTAGCGTTAGCTAGTACCCAGGCCTGGCCAAAACTGTAACCAAGTTTAAGCAGCAAAACAGAAAGGGTTCAAGAAAATTGCTCAATTTAAAAATAAAATTAGCAAGACAGCAAAAGGCAGAGAAGAACACTGGAAGCTGATTCGAGCTGCACCGTTGACTGGCCTAACTGATCATTTTAAAGAAAAACTTAAATATCTTTCCAACTTCAAGTAAAATTTTATTTATACTGTTTAATATCACATCATAAATTTGCCTCAAATGATTTTTAATCTGTACAGCATACCACACCCTTGGATTGGATGCTTTTTGTCATGTGATAAAACTGAATATCTTTGAATTTTGGACTGTTTGTCAGACAAACCTTTGAGCACATCACCTTGGAAAACTGTAACTGTACCTGACATTTTTCATCACTTTAATCAGCAATGAAAATAATTGTTAGTTGTGACCCTAAACCTTATGTCAACATGAATATCAGGTTTTAAAGTATTCAAAAGGCTGTTTCAGAAATGTTTTGAGGAAGGACACGAGTTCAGCAGTTTGGTGCATTTTGCAACACTGAATGTTAATCTAACCGTGTACAGGAGAAAGGCGTTAACTTCCTCTGACACTTTTCTGTGCAACTGTTCATGAGACACTGTTGAAGAAAAACTACTACAGTTTTGCCTCTAAACACACTATTTAAGGGTCTCAGCACACACATAATAAACAAACTTATTGCAGGTTAATGGTGTTTGTACTTCAGATGGACTCTTCTAGAAAGAGTAGACGCAACCAGGCCAACAGTAACCCAATCTTTTGGGATGAGCAGTGAGACTGAAACACACACGTGTGCCAAGGAATCTAGGCTGCCCTATAAAAAGACCTAAGTGTCTGCTGTTGCACCACTGATAAACACAGTTAGCTACTGTAACCGAGTCCTCAGGGAACCTGTAAGAAAAAGGCTTCAATTCCCTCTCTGGAATACACTAAAAAGGCAGATGACAATCTCCAAGTGGAACAGAAGCAGAGATACAAAAGGTTGCCATGGACCTGCACCCAATAAGAGCAGGTGTTGTTCTTGAATGTTTATTCAACTTAACCTGTACTGTACTAAACAGAGAGGTGTTCCTGATTAGTTTAACCGCATCAGCATAACTGCAGTGGACAAAATAATAGTACCATCAGTGTAATACAATACAGTTCAACACTGGCTACATCTTCCAAAATGACCAACCAGTTGAATCACCTCTCTAAAAGCTGCCAATAAAAACTGATGATCATCACCTTCATTAAGGAAGGATTTACTGCAGGACTGTTTTATTAGACTGCATTACTTCCAGCTAGATGTACCTAATAAGCTGTGTGGTGGCATATACTACGTATGCTTATAACGGCTGAAGGCTGTGCTGTCAGCCTACCTGTTGGTCCAGGTCTGCCTTGTAAGTGGATGATGCCCTCGGGAAGCGGTCATTATTTAACACCCTCTCTCTACTGTGCCTCATACTGGGGCTCCGTGATGAGGACAAGACTGCTTGACTGGGTGTGTAGGACGACCTTGAGCCAGACAGACAAAAAGGAAGTCTGCGAGACCTGGAGTCCATCGCGGATTGCCTTAAACCTTGTGAGAAATGCAGCAGTGTTACTGTACAATAAACTGTAACATTATCTTAAACTGTAGTCTAATATAACCACACAGTTAAGCTGAGCTATCAGGAACTTAAATATATTAGAAGAAGAAGCTTTATTTTATTGTCATTGTAACATTGTGACATGTACAACAAAATTTTGTTTGGAGCCGAGGGCCCCGGGCCGCTGTGTGCATACGCGCTGCCCAAGGACACTTCGACATGTGGACTGCAGGCACCGAGATTCGAACCTTCAACCTTGGGAGATGACTGCTCTACCCACCACCCCACTGTCGCCCCATATTATACTGTATATGCATTGTTATTCCACACCCAGTGACAAAACCATACATGAAAGCTATCCCTTGCAGCACAGACTTTTCAAAAGGGCCTACATTTGCAAGGCTTGGTAGGGTAGCATTCAGGCAAGTCTCCTTTATGGATGACCACACGTGACATGGGCTGTAAACACAAACTTGCCACCATACAGCTTCCTGGATTTGGTTTAAAGTCACAGTGGCTATCTTTGGCACTGTGAACATGACACTACCAAGGAGCAAACCGCAGCATAGTGTGCTGGGTGTCCAAGTAAACAAGTTGCAAAATACCAAGATCATTTATTATTAAGCCACATTACTAAATCAAAGGTGTAGATTCTCACATTTTTCTTTAAGTGAAGTTTAAATTAAGGTATCAGAGCCAAATGTTCCAGTAAACCTGGACGTTTATGACAGTTTGAGTTACTTCCTGGTAGTAACAGATATAGCCAGGGACATTACCTATTGAGCTCTGGCTAAAATGTACAGTAAACTCTTTAAAAAACACAACAGAGCAAGACACTTGGGAAATCAATTTCTATTACACAGCAAACAGCTGTATGAAGTAAAGTCTTCACAGGAGAACGAAGTATAACAAATACACTAAAAACTGTTGTGTGTGTGGGTTAGGTTCTATGCAAACAAGCTGCATGTTTCCGGTCACAGGTACATCTGCCTAAAACAAATGCAGCCTGACAAAAACCCCGCAGTAAAGGTTAAGTTTGGACTTTCTGCTATTACTGAATATTGCTAAGAGGCACCGATTAAACCTTACGGTCATTTTGCAATGCTGATGAATTGTTTGTCATATACCGAGAAGTTGAATTTCGCCATTGACGTTAAACATTTGGTCTTGTGTTGTCGACGTGAGCCAACACTTTACCTCGACTGCTTCGTTTGCTAACGTTACTTGATGCCTTTAGATTTTTTTTTTTTTTTTTTTTTGCTCATCTATAATTTATTAACCGTGTTCTTGCCACCAAATCACCAACACATGGTAACAGTACCGTGGAGATTTAGAGTAACAATTAATACTGCAATTTGCATTACCTTAAACTTAGCATTTATTCCCATTATCGTTTCCTGATTCTCTGCAACTTAGCTTAACTTAGCTTAACGCTCGTGTTACCTTTCATATGCCACTACTTAACGTTAACCTGCGGTTAGCGTTACATTCAGCTATAACAACTTATGTTGGCCAATTTAATAAAACGCCGTTTTACGTGTTTAACATTAGAAACCTAGTTGTCATTAACTGCCTAACCGGCTTGTGGCCCGTTCAGATATGGTAACAGAATAGCTCTGCTGTTGTTTACCGACGATTCACCAGAGCGATCAACCCAGTTAGCTGCAAGCTAGCTGGCTAATGTTACACGCTGGCAGATGTTTGTTTTAGACAGTGTCACTACCCGAAGATCAAATTAACATAACTAAATCCATAAAGCAATGCACTGTCAACATCCTCACCTTTGATTGCACTCTTCCTTGTTTTAGCACAACAGGAGCGATAGCGCCTGCGTCTTCGTTGACTACTGTTGACACCGGAGGCCAAGTTTATTTAGCTACAGTGACCCGGTGGGAGTGGTTTACAAGATTACTTTCAGGTGATACATTGTCCCCGTGCTGCACATAATTCATCCGCGTTTCCTCAGAAAAGATTTGAGCCAACTAAATAAATACACCCCGAGAAGAATATAGATACATATTTATGCTTAATTTGTCACCACAAAAATTCCAGGCAAAGTCAAACAGCTCCTCCACGTGGCCCAGATAAAAAAGACCAATAGTAATAGTTTCATGTTTGTAAATGAACTGTGCCAGCTCAGTACTGCTGTACTGCTCTAGTACGGTTCTCTGGAATAACCTGACTACACCTGGGTCTACAGTCACTTCAGAAAGTATTCAGATCTATTTACTTTTTTTTCATTGTTATTTTGCCGTCATATACTAGAGTCATTCAAATTAAGCCCCACCCCCCATTAGTACCCCATACATTTTAAATAAGTTTAGCAAAGTTAACAAAAAATGTAAAAACTGTAATCACACTTATGTATGTATTCAGACCCTTTACTCACTATTTATTTGAAGAACCTTTGGCAACGACCCTTGAGTCTTCTTGGAAATGAAATGTCATGACAAGTTTTTCATGCCCAAGGGCATTTTCTTCCATTTTTCTCTACAGATCCTCTCAAGCACTGTTTGGATGGGGACCATCATCATTTTCAGGTCTCTCCAGATATATTCAATTGGCTTCAAGTCAGACTGCACCACTTGAGGACATTCACAGAGTTGTCCCTAAGCTACTCCAGCGTTGTCTTGGCTGTGTACTTGGGATTGTTGTCCTGTTGGAAGGTGAGTCTTCAGTCCATTCTGAGGTCCTGAGCACTCTGGAGCAGGTTTTCATTATGGATATTTCTGCTCTGGTCATCTTTCCCTCAACTCTGACCAGTCTACTTTTTCCAACACCTGCAAAACACCCCCACAGCATGATGCCACCACCACCACACTCCACCACAGGGATGGTATTGGGCAGATTATGAATGGTACGTTATTTCCTTCAAACATGATGCTTAGAACTGAGGCCAAACAGTTCAATCTCTGGTTTCTTCATACCACAGAATCTTGTTTCTCATGTTGAGAGTCCTTTAGGTGCTTTTATTCCAAACTCCAAGTGGGCTGTGTTTTTCAGTGGGGAGAGGCTTCCATCTGGCCACTTTGACATACAGAATAAATTTAGGACAGATCAGTTCCTTCCCTGATGGTACACTGTCGTGGATCAGAGTCTAAATGTCTAAATTTCCTAAAGATTTTTCACAGTGCTGCATACATGGTGCTTCTGTTTCAACAGCAATTTTTGACTACTCAAATGCTTTAGTACTGGCAGACCAGCTGTTTCACAAAGATCTGTGTACAATCCTGAGAAAGTTTTGTCATTTAATGGCGTCAGAAAGTCCTTGTAAACTCATATAATACATTTGTAATCATTACCACTGCTAGTGTTTGTCAGTAAATGTGGGATATTGGCAAAACAGCCACTGAATCCAGCATGAAATAAAATACCACAAACAAATGATAGTCTTACAAAATATGATGAAGTGTTAATATTCAACATAAGATCAACTCAAAGAAAATCAATAAACAGCATTAAAATGTTTTTTACAACAGTAAACAGTAAAATTATAGCATAGTAGTAATAATAATAACACTGAAAAGAGATTGTGGACACCTTTGACTACTTAGGTACATGTTGTAAGTAGTATTTTAGTGTTGTTGGTATAGTGTGCGTTTGTGTGTACTTGTTGCTGTTGCTGTTCATTATAAGAATCTAGGTCATCTGCGACAGAGGTGGCCCACACACAGCCTCACACAGTCTATGTCCAGGGCTGACGTCATTATGAAAGCCAATAGCCATTAAGGGGCGCTGTAGTTCACACTTTTCTCCCAACATTACTTGAAGAGGGTTGTTTAGCTGCACTATTATTTACATGCCAGAACTTGGTGTTTGTTTAGTCAGGGAGGCAATTAAGGCCCATTTCAACAGGTTTAATTAGATTAAATTAGATCCTGTCATCACACTAAATCTAGGATTAGGAGCATTCATATTATTTGCATACTTTAACTCTTCTAATTTAGTAGGCCACAGAAATCACTGATCAAAGTTGAGCCTAAACATACTTTTTGTTAAATTTGTTTTCACATCACAGATATTTTAGATGTTGCTGTGTTTTTCCTTTCATTGAGTTAACCGTAACATTGAATTCACGTTAAGCTTTGTGTGGTACCAAGAAGGCCAGTTAGGAGCGGAGCGGGAGCACTGTTCCACAGCAGATGCATAATAATGGGAAGGTCAACAAGATACTCATCATGCTTAGTAAAGCATAGTACTTAAAAGGCCCAGTGATGTTAGTCACATGTATACAACTGTGAACTGTGATCAAACCTTGTAAATCTATCCAAGGCTAACAGAACAAGAGGTGAAGGAGAAACAGAGAGCAAACGGGATAAATATAGGAGGGCGGTACTGTAGATTAATTGCTGACAAAAAGGACGCATGACCTAGACAAATGAGGAAGTGCAAGGTCTGGTGAGCTGGGGAGGAGGCTGCCTCAACCCAATTGCAGGTCTGTAGGCCAATGCCACTGGCCCCCTCCTTTTCTTCCTTCAGACACATGATTCTGCACACTGCTACATGAAGAGAGGCTATACGCTCTCCTCCCCCAGTGCTGCTGGTAGGACGACAATGGATCATTCCTCGGAGCTGTTTCTTATTCATGCTAGCTGTGACAAGGGAGGAACATGCTTTTTTTTCCACTGGGGGCAGCTAACTCTTTCAGCTAAGATCATGGCATGTAACCTGAGATGAGCGTACCGTGCCCTCCTCCTGAATCGACTTATGTGCTGTGGATACGGGATGGATACTTACCTGCCTCTCTGAACTGTTGTTCATTATCCCAGCTGTACAGGATGGCACAGTACAACATCACACTTTCCTAATGTGTGACAAAAATACTCAAGTATCACAAATTAGTAGTGGATGTTTCCCTAAGGTATCTACTGACTGTTTATCAGAACTGAATTGTGAGACAAAATCATTAAAAAAAACATAACAATGTCAAATAAATTTTAAAGTTTCAAATAAAGTTTCATATCAGTGTCTGCTGAGGTGTTGATGTTTACACTCTGCTTGTGAAATCGACTTTAACCTGAGCCTTAAGACAGAATAACTGCTAGAATGTCCGGATTGTCCAGCACTGTGTAATCACAAAGGAATGTCCTGAGATATTTCTGCTTTTCCTCTACAAGATCCCTCTTTTCCCACGGCTTGTCCAGGTCTTAAGAATCTGTTTCCTCTCACTCTGTCTCCCTTCCTCCCTCTGTTTGTGGTGACACATGAATACCACAAAGGCTGGTTTATAAGAGAACTACAATACAAGCTCAGTGTCTTCAAGAGCACAAAGAGCAAGAGTCCATGCCTTCTGAGAAACCTCTAGGAAGGAACATCCAGGCTAAAGTTGTGAGTGTAAATCAAGGGTCATGGATACAAACACGCAACACAGCAGGGCTGAGTGAACTTATTAAGCACATATTGTAAGTTGTTGCATTGCTTTCTGAAACCTCACCAAGAGATAATGTTTTTAAGCTTAAGGTTGTGTACGTGTGGAGTTCAGTTGAATGCTTACCATGCAGTGTCTCTGTTGGTGATGATCTCATGGGAACTTGGGGATAGACAATATATTAGTAGTATTTGCTTTTTTATAATTGGAAGGACTTTGTCCACTTGATAATTTAACATATGCACGAGCCTGCTTGAAACACAGGACTACACATGCATCTGAAGAGATCAGTAGCAACTGTGAAAAAGCAAAGCCACATATGTTAACACTTTAGGTCACATGTTTGAGGGGCACCACCTAAAATACCTTTGAGCAGATGTTTTCCCTCCCCATAGGTTTTCTCTGTTACAGTCGGTGAATATAATGCTTATCAGTGTAAATGTGTAGATGAATTCACATGCGCTGCAAACTAAATGAAAACCCATACACCTGATTCATGAAGAGAAGGATCCCATTTTTCATTTAGTGACTTTTAGTGATGCAATCTTTCACCCCACACAACCACTAAAAGGCTTTTCCAAGGATTCAAAGAACATTTCTTGGTCTTAATGTTCCCCAGACACAAAGTGACATCTGCCTCCCCCCCTGCATGCCTGCTGCTCTTTGTTCAGAAGAGCAGTGAGCAGAGAGCACACTGAAGGCAAAGATGATGTCACCATTGTGATCATTACTGTGCTGTATGGTGCCCTATTTTTGACCAGGCTTCACTGAAGGGAGGCCATAATTTCTGCCTGGGCATTGCCAGGAGGAACAGTGGCCTGACACTATTAATTAACAAGAGGCCTGTTTTCATCAGTCATAAAACCATCTAAAGACACCACCCGCACAGGCCCACCTAGGTCTCTATTCAACTGCTCTTTAGTAAATACAGTAGATCATTTGAGTAATCTGATGAAGCTTTGTGGTTGTGTTTTTAACCTCATGATCCTGACCTTTTTTTTTTAGTTTAAATTAGTTTCATTTAATTGATTTAGAATTTTGAATTGCAATAAATCATTTAGTCAATATTTTGTATATATTCTTGGTCAAACATGGACCTGTATCTGCTCCATACATGCTGAAAAACTGGGTTTTGCTCAGGCCACACAGCAAACAATATATTTATTTATCTTTACTAACTTCAAACCTTAATGCTTTATTTATTGTTATTTAGCAAATAATCCTACCCAGCTTCAGTTCGGCGGGTTAAATAATATATTTTGCCAATTAAATGAAATGATAGAGAATTAATAGAAATAGAATGACTTAATAGAAATACACGCATTTACAGTTTTTGAAATGTACAATAATTAGCTTCAAGGAGTCAGCATGTATTTAGCTTCAGTGTTGCCAGTGGTAACCCTGAATGCTAAAGTGGCTGGCATATAAATTATCATATCACTGTAAATTTGATCATTATTATTGCACACCAAACCTGCATTTTATTTCCAAGAGATGATTTTCTCTTTGACACTACCATGCAGTATTGGTTGATTTACCAGCAATTACTGATAATGAAACTTTCAAGCATGCAGGTGTGACAGGCTGACTGACAGATGTTAGCACCTCCTCATTTCAGTATACCAGCTTTTTGTCGCTCTAAGCAGCCAGACAATT